CCCGAGGCAGGGAGGGTCTGGCTGGCCTGCCCAGTCCCGGTGCAGGCTTCTCGTAGCTCACGCCTCTGCCTTGGAGCCGGTTGACCCAGGCCCACAGGGGGCCATATCTGGGGCCACAGACCTCCCTCCCCCAGCCCCGCCTGTCCATGGTAGAAGGTGCCTCTGGCCAGGAGGGGGAGGGGAGGGCGACCAGCTCATCTGCACGTCTCCTGCCCCACGGCGGGACTCGGCAGCGAGCACACGGACAAGCGTGGTGTCAGGAGGGATATGGGCGCTTTAAGCAACTCCAGTGGAATTGTGATAAACATTTGTGACCCAAAACTCACCACTGTAACTATTCTAAGCGTGCAGTGAGTGGCACTGTAACGCGTATTTGCAACACTGTACAGCCATCACCGCCATCCGCTGCAAAGCTTTCTCATCACTCCAAGGGGAAACTCTGCACCCACGAAGCAGTAACCTCCCCCTTCCTCCCCCAGCCCTGGGGGCCTCGAATCTGCTTTCTGGCTCCAAGAGTTCACCTTTTCTAGACGTTTCACACAAGTGGAGCCACAGCAGTATCTACCCTTTTGTGTTTGGCTGATTTCACGTAGCGCAATGTTTTCAAGGTCACCTGTTGCCGCGTGTCGGATCCCCGTGCACTCTGCCACTGCACGGGTGACCCATGCCGTGTCTGCCCCGTATCTTGTCTCTGCCTGTGCGTGGTGCTGCAGCCGGCACTGCCCTGCATGCAATACGCCGCGTGTGCTGGGCAACCCTCAGCGTCTCGCCAGGGACAGCTCGCCGGGCCCCTTGCTTGGCTTTGCTGGTTGGATTTGCCTCGCGTCTGAGACTGTCTCCCAGGGCCTCGTGCGGCTGCACTTGCACCTTCCAGCCCCAGTGTTGGTGAAGAACAGCGGGGAGCCAGGCGGGCGGTGACTGCCCAGCTCTCCCTCCTGTGCCGGGGCACCTGAGCCCACGGGCTCGGCACTCAAGGCTCCTTCGCAGAGACCTTCAGGGTCTCTCCGCGAGAAGGAAGATAGTGCTTCAGGAATACTCGTGCGACTTAACATAAACACTCCTCGTTTAATTTTAGAGCAGCTAGAAAGCTTTGTTGCCATCGTTTTTTTTTTTCATAAGTTGAGAGGAGTGGAGGGCACTGTGGTTAGGTGGCTTGTCCCTTCCGACAGGCCAGGACAGGGCCCTGGGTCCTCGGTCTGGGCCCTTCGGGGACATGACGCTGCCTCAAGGAGGGGCCAGGAAGGGCTTTGATTGCAGTGCAGGGGCCGTGAGGTCTGCTGACGCCTCATTGCTCAGGTCCACCCTCGAGCTGCCAGTGCACGCCCTGTCTGGACTTCCTGCTGCCCAGGGGAGCATGTAGAAGTCATCGCCCCTTCCTCATGGGGTCGAGGCCTCCTGAGATGTCGTCTGCAAAATGTTCTGTCAAATATCTTGGATTTTCCAGAATCGACTTAAAGAATGATCGTCTGATAATCCCTAAAACCCT